ACAAAATGGGCAGCTTCATCACTACGAGTTCTTCACTTTACTTAGGATGCTTCAGAGCAGCAGCTGTTCTTTCAGGCAGACTGAGGTCAAAAGCGTAAGAGCGCCATCTTGTGGTCGATAGTAAACAGAGAAGACTTGTAATAAGAGTTCGAAGAGCCTCTGGTTCTCCACAGTTTGGAAAGATGTTTTTTCTTCTGTTAGTGATACTGAATGGCCCTAATAGAGCTGAAAACTGTTAAGCAATTAATGTGAGTCCTTTCACAGACAACTGCTTTTATAGAACATGGAGATAACTTGATGTGAATGTTTGACACGAGCCTGAATGTTGAATTTCTTTATAACCAGGTTGAATTTACCTGAATGCCAAATGTACATGCTGGAGCTGCTAAAGTGCAGGCAGCTGGACCATGATCGAGACTTTAAAGGTCCAGTGTGTAGGACTTTGGAGGATATATTGGCTGAAATGGAATATTTTTTCTAAGGGAGTCCCCTGAAAAAATGTATCATCATGTTTTATCATCTAAGAATGAGCAGTTCATGTCAGCATAGGAGGTTGGTCCTTGTCCACAGAGCTCACCATTTTGCAGTACCATGTTTCTACAGTAGCCCAGACAAACCAAACACTGGCTCTTGATAGAGAGTTTGCGTTCTGTTGTTAGCAGCCCCTCTGCGATGAACAGTGTTGGAAAAACACAGATTTTTAACATGAAGCTGCTTTATTCAGTGTTTTGACCAGTTTAAATCAGGGCTCAATTTGTTTTGGAAATGAAGAGACCTATGCGGATAATCCCACTCCTGGTAAAAACCTCCAGAATGTATAAATCTCAGGGCCTCAAAGAAAAAATGGTGAGCACACATCAGCAGGTGATGGGATAACAGCCTGTTTGCGACGAGCCAAACACTGAATAAAGCAGTTCCATATTACAAATCAGTGTTTTTTAAATTTCATTTTTATTTTTGGTACCAGTTTTCATCACCTGGTCTATTTGTTGTGGAGAGGAAGTGACCTCTGCAGATAATTTGGCTCCCACTTAATCCTCCTGAACAATGAACACTGAAGGAATCCTAACTCAGAGTTTGTGCTTGGCACACAAGTGAAGTTTCAGCTGGTTGCAATCTGCATTTCTTACCGCTAGATGCCAATAAATCCTACACACTGCTCCTTGAAGGTTAACCTCGTGGATGAACTATTCTTAATACAAAAAGGCTGTTAAATATTTTCAATTATTTTCCACAGTCCTTGTAATAAGATAAAATCTGTTAGTTACTGTCCTCTGTTAGCCCTCCTCTCTGGTAGTCAGGAAGCTTTGGGACAAAAAAATAAAGTACAAAAAAAAAAATAAAAAACTGCTAACATGCAGCTCCAGTAATGTTGTCGACTATCTTGCATGGACCAAATGTAGCATCTTAAATGTAAAAAAACAAAACAAAGAGACAACTTAAATTTAGATAAAACATCAATGGACATAAGTGCTATGTAGCCATCCACCATGCTGATCCTAAATCAGCGGTTGCAAGAAACTTAATAGATGGAAATCATTGTGTTTGGGATCTGCAGCAGCATTCTGCGACACTGATGTGATGATCCTGAAACAATATAGTGAAAATGGAGCAAGGCTTACTGCAATGTGGATGCAGAAATGTCTTCTACCTTAAAACACTATACCAACCTAAATGAAGAACTAGATATGACCTGTTTTCTTTCCAGTGAGTCCCATACCCAATGTACAAGCTACCATTGATCTGTATCAGTATGTGTATGACAATGTGTCAGTGCTACAGATTTTGTATCATTTCAGTGCGTTTGGAGTGACTTGACCTGCTGGCAGTGGGCTTTATGTGTGTTCATTCAAGCTATGATGACTGACTGAGTAACTGACATATAAGGTGACTCAATATGCATGCTGAAACCTGTGTGCTTTTGCACTCTGCACAGCTCTGCACATTATTTCACTGTCTGCATGGATGTAAGAAAAAAGCATTTAAAAATCCAGACTCTAGTTTGAATCTCTTTTGTTCTTTGTGTGCGAGTCCTCCTTTGCTGCACCAATCAGCTAAATTTACCACAGGTGGATTCACATCACAATCAAAGAGATCAGGAGAAATGGGAGACACCTGAGCTCAATTTCAAATGTCATAGAAAAGGGTCTGAATACTTATGTCAGTGTGATATTTCAGTTTTTTTCTTTTTTTTGAAAATCGGCAAACATTTCTAAAATCCAGGTTTTGCTTTGTCATTATGGAGTTTTTGGTGTAGATTGATGATGGGAAACAATGAAGAAAGTGAAGGTGTCTGAATATACAGTGTATATGTTTCTATGGCAAACAAAGAGTCACATTTATGTTGACTCCAAAAATGTTTGAATCAGCCCCAAAATGTGTATTTTTTGTGTCATGTCAGCGTGGACTCCTCACTCAAGTCATTAAAACATCAGTGTCCTTAATCAGTCAGCTGCTCTCCCTGTTGCTATAATGCCAACCAATGTGCTGTTATACCAGGTGATAATACAATGAACAATTTTTAAACACTTCTGTTTTTGCTCTAATTTTTCACAGGTTTAAGTTTTTTGTCTCAAATTTGGTTGCAAATTTGTTAAAATCCATGTTAGTGAGCACTTCTTCCCTTTGCCAAGCCTCGGGATGGTCACAGTAAAAGGTACCGTTTTATCTTGAAAAAGACATTTATTGGGATTTCCACTGACTAGTGCTACAGAAATGCATTTCTTGGTCACACATACCCTTAAGAATTAATCAGTCTTGATATCTCTGTGCATGCCAACTGCCATCAATAAAATGCACCTGTGTTCGTTGTCCTTAGCTTTTGCCAGCCCAAACTGTAACCATTGCCTCCGCACTCCGTTCACAACGTTAGCATTAGCAAACTGCTCACCCACCTGTTTCATCATACATCAATTTCTGTGTAGATTCTATAATTCCATCTAAAACTGTTGTCATGTACCCAAATAACAAACCCTGGGTGACTAAAGAACTCAAAGCTGTTAATAATAAGAAGATTTGTTACACTACCCCCAACACTTCTAGCACTGGTTCCCCTCAGGACTGTGTTCTTTCGCCGTTACTCTTTATCATGTACACACATGTTAAATTCTCCAATGACACCGCCCTGCTGTCTCTTCTTCAGGATCCACAGTTGGATCATGGCTTGGTTTTAAATGATTTTATCAAATGGTGCGATGACAACTTCTTGGATCTTAATGTAGCAAAAACAAAGGAGTTGATCATTGATTTTAATAATAGTGCAAAGCCAAAAAACAGCCTGATACATGGTGAACCAGTCCAAAATGTGGAAACCTATTAATACTTAGGAACCACATTTGACTCTCATCTCAAGTTCGACAAGAACACAGAGTCACTTGTCAAACGGGGACAACAAAGAATCCACCTGATGCGGAAGCTCAACTCTTTTAGTGTTTCGAAAACTATTTTATGTTCCTTCTGTCATTCTTTTATTGAGAGTCTTCTAACGTTCTCTTTTATCGGTTGGTTTAATGGTCTGTCTGTGAAGGACAAGAACAGTCTGAATCAGATAATTGAGTCTGCTCCAAGATTAATGGAGTCCAGCTAACAGACCTGATTGTGCTCTGGAAGAAACGTGTGGTCCAGAAAGCAAAATGCATTATGAAGCAGGGAGACCATGTCATGTCCAGTGGATTTAATTTAATGCCCTCAGGGTGGCGCTATATGCACCCCTGAGGAAGACAAATTGCTACTCAAACTCTTTTATCCCTTCAGTTATCAAGCTGATGAATGCCAGGTTTAATGAGTAGGGTTGTGCTTTGTTGCTTTATTTATTTATTCATTCTTTTTATTGATCGAATACTTATTTAGCTATGCATATTTGCACATGTACAAGGTATCGCTGCTGTGAAACCATTAGTTCAACTGATCCACTGACAGTTGAGAGTTGAGTGATAAAAGTTGTATGTCTATGAATGATTGTTGTATTTGTTTGTGCTCTTATTTATTGAACAGGGAGCTGTAAACTGAAGTGCCCACACGGGATAAATAAAGTTTTCTGAACTGAACCACACAATGCCATACACACTGTCTGTTGTTTGACAGGTACAGCGTACACCAGGATTCATCTGTGAAGAGAACACTTCTCCAAAGTGCCAGACACCATTAACAGTTAGCAGTTGCCCACTCAAGTCCGTTACAATGACAACTGGCTGTCAGGTCAAGACCCTGGTGAGGAGTATGAACATGCAGATGAGTTTCTCTGAGACAGTTTCTGAACGTTTGTGTGGAAATTCTTTGGTAGTGCAAACCAGTTATTGCATCAGTTGCCCAGGTGGCTGCTCTCAGACAATTTTGTCGGTATGGACGCTGTGGAGATCTTAAACTGGTGTGGTTACACATGGTCTGAGGTTGTGAGGCTGGTTGGATGTACTTCCAAATACATGGGAAATGACATTGGAGACAGCTCATGGTAGTGACATGAACATCAGTTCACAGGCAACAGCTCTGATGGACATTTCTGCAGTCAGCATGCTGACGTCATGCTCACAACTTGATCCATCTGTGGCATTGTATTGTGTGATCAAACTGCACATTTTAGAGTGCTTTTTTTCCCTGTGTAGTAATGCTGCTGTTTAATCAGCATCTTGGCGTGCTGCACCTGTCAAGTGGATGGTTTTTTTTGGGAAAAGTTGATGTGCTCACTAGCAGATTTTTAACAAATTTGCAACCAAAATTTGAGAGGTAGAAGTCTTTTGTGTGCATAAATATCTTAAATCTTTCGCTTAAACCTGTTAAACATGGGAGCACACATATTTAAATTTTTGTTCAGTGTATAAGACTACAAAAACAATCCTCCACTTATGATTAAGGAATCAACTTAGCTGGATAAGAAATAGCAAGATGTTACCCTGGATTTATTAGGCAATATTCAGAGAATGTGCTACAGAAAGTTTTTGTAATTAGAAAGTCATGACAGTTTTTGGAATGTCTAGCTTAGTGACATTGAAAAAAATTCTCAAGGTATTTAACATGATTTAATCTCAGTGGTGAAACTCAAGAAACAGAAAAAGGAGTACAAGTTTCCATCCCATTTATTCCTGGTTTCTATTTTGTACATAAAGCTGCAATAAAACCAACAGATCTAAAGATGACACAAAAATGAAAAAAAGAGAGATGTGAGGAGAGACCATATCGAGACAATAAATGGCTGGCCAACTTTACAAAGGCTTCGGATGAAAGCAAAAGCCGTCTGATGGTGATTGAAGGGAAACAGATTCAGGTTAATCATTGACTAGACAATAAAAAAGCCATTGCACTCCGACTTCCCCTGAGGTTCCCAGACACACAAACAGACGGTAAACATTTTAAAAAGGCACTTAACAAGGGATTGCATGATGTATCAGTGCATATTAAACTTAAATTCCACTTCTTCAAAGACATTTCTCTAAAACAGACCTGATCTGTGGGATATTCTCTCGATATAGAAGGCCGACATTAGTACTTGCTGCGTACTATAGACCTTTACTCTTTATGAAATCCCGTACGTACAGTAGACCACATGGGCCTGTAAACTGTAACGGCTTGATGAAGACAGCCGGCTAAGACCTGGCCAAAAAATATAGCAATATTTTCTTTTCCCCCATGAAACATTTACATCCAGAAACATCAGTTTGGGCGTAAAATTACCTTTGGTTTGTCTGTGCTTCTGTACTGGCAAGTACATACTGCACATAAAGAGAGAATCCACTAAAAAACAAATTTGTTGGATGTTGGATTTTCGGAACATTAAATCCCTGCACATTTCTTTGTAACTGACGAAGAGAGTTTGGACTAGATGTACAGTATGTATGGTCATCCACATTTGTTCCACTGACATGAATGGAATGCTGGATATAAGCGGAGAGCAAAATAAACAAACTGTGAGGTTAAGATTAATTTCACCATCTGCAAACTAAAAATATTCTTTTGACTGTAAAAAGTACAGTTCCTACTCCATGAAAGTGTCAGGTGATAAAAAGTCTTGTCTTTTTGGGAGAAACAAATTCATGAACAATAATACACCTTCCAGGGTTACAGAAGGACATTTCTGCTTTTAGATGGATTCTCACTTTAAAAACAAAAGGTTTAAGAAATGATACACAATCGTTTTAATTACATATTCCAAACTGTTGCATATACTAGGACTAAGGATTGCACATACTATTATAGATCTATACAGTATATAACATTTAACATTCTAGTATAAAATATAGTCCTAGGCCTATCAATAGATATCTTTCATATACATTCAGGGTAAAGCGTAGGCTGGGCTGGATCTTGTATGAAAGCAACATTTAAATACAGTTAAACACAAGAGTCTCTGGCTGGTCTATGCTTTGAAAGATTAACTTTTTGTTTCTACACGCTTTCCTCTCTCTGAGTCAGTCAGCTTTATTTAAGCGGGAAAAAAAAAGAAATGCACAGAAAAATGACACTACTGGCATCCTGTCCAAATCTCATGTTTAGTTGTTTAAGATTTTTCTTTCTGTTTAAAAAAAAAAAAAAAAACAACTGATTGTGCGCCAGGTAAAGGATTCAGTCATCAAACAATAAAAAATAACAATTCTGCATTTCAAATTTAAGGTACACTTTTTCATCATAAATGCCAATTTCATGTCATGTAAATTGTATTTGTAGAAACACAAATATTTCATTTAGAGGAAGCACTGGCAGAGAAAATGGCATTTTGTCCGAGACAGTTAAGTTCCAACTTGTTTCGACTCAGAACAGCCTGTATTTTTCTGCCAACAGTCTGATATCCTCCTTCTGCATGCTGCCGGCCAACAGTTTGTTCATCAACGAGAAAGATATGGAACAACCGTGGTCACTGTTTTAGTATATAAACATTTGTGTTGGATTTGTAAAAAACAAACTTTTGTGCTTCCCCGTGAAAACACAATACTTAATGTACTGTTACAATAAACACTGGACCATGGCTACTTTCTGTGAGTTTAAGAAGGGTAATATAACCAATACACACTGGGACTGCTAACAAGCTACCATTTGTAGCGATGCTTGCTACTTTTAGCAAATAAAACCAATGACAATGATACATTAATACAATGGTGGCCCTATAGAGAAATTGAGACATTTCAGTAGTCCTGTTCACACTGTTTTTTGTCAAGGTGCTATTGATAACATTAGCCACTAAATGTCACACTCCTCTTCACCCCTACCATTGCACTCAAGTCACACTGTTGTTTCAACTGGCACAACTAATACGAACTCTACAAAAAGTAGCCATTATTCAGCTGCTGATTGGCCCTGAATATCTGATTCCAACAGTGCATCATCAAGGCAATTTTAGGTCCAATAATGCTGATAAAATTGGGTGGTGTGAGTTGCTGTGGTCAAGACCTGTGTAATGGAGGTTTTAGAACCGTGGGTCTCTGTGTTGCTTCTCTTCTGGATCTTTCAGAGCTCCCTTGCAGACGTGTTCTTCTGGTATGTGACATGACTCTGGAGTGATAAACAGCAAATGCAAATACACAACATGAAATCACAGAGTAACATCCCACTATATCAAAGCTGTGTAGTCTAGAGAGGGCAAATCTAGTGAGATCATAGACTGTACATGAAGACTGATGACATGACAGCTCTTCAAAGGTGAAGCTGAAACGAATTGACCGCCACCTGGTGGCTGGCTGCAGTATAGGTCATAAAGCCTGCTCTGTGTTTGCGGACAGGACATGGGCCTAACCCAAGGCAGTTTTTAATCACGCTGCTGTATGTTCAAATGTTCATTTTTGTGATAAGTTTGGTTTTAATAAGTTATTTAATGCTATAAAACAGTGATTTTATAACATGACTGACAACTGAGTGAGTCAATTGGTGGACTTGCATTCAGTGGTGCTGCTTGTAATTGGTCGGACTGGTGTATGGGCATGAAACTTGATACCACAGAGGTCGCTACTGCGCAGACTCTGGCTCTAAATGATGTCAAGATGTGAAGATGGCAGCGGCCGTATCTGGGATGTTTTAGCTTCACTTCTGTACCGTCTATCTTTATATAAAAATAAAATAAAATAAATGCCTGTTCAACTTCAGTTAAAATAATTTATGTATCTAACAGATAATTATTCACAAACATCCCTGTCAGATCCTCAAGCTATTGTCAGAGAGAACTGACAAAAATATGGCAAATGCATTACTTGAAGGTGAAGCAGACTAAGGTGCTTTCTTGTAAATTGGTCTCACAATGCAAAATGCAGTCAGACTTCAAACTATGGGTGCTCAGATGTCTGTGGACCTGCCTGTTGCTGTGTTGGGTCCTGGTTTCCATGGAAATCATCATCACGTCTCTCTCTCTTTCTTGACGGTGACATCTCCACTGGCAGCTCCGGCTCCACTGGCAGCTCCGCTCCCTGCTGCGGAAGCAGCTGCAGCTCCAGGGCCGGGCCCGTTCCCAGCTCCAGATGCAGCAGCTGATGGAGCTCCTGCTCCAGCAGTGCCCAGAATAGTGGAGACTTCTCCCTGCATGAAGGCCCATGGGGGACTGTTTGGAGAGTTGTCTAACGGACAGCGGTCTCCGCTGGGGCAATACACCTCCCCATCACCTCGCCGGCTCTGGATGTATACTCTGGTGCAGGGAAAGCAGAACCTAAATTTGGTAGAGGGAGAGAAGACGCTATTAAAATTACCAGTGAGTTGTAACTTGTAGGGATATTAACAACTAATGCTTATTTCAGTAATAATCAATTATTTGTTCAAGTGACTAAAAGGTAACAACTAATAACAAATGACAAGAGCCTAAAGTACAGTCTGACATTGACCACTTGGTCTGACTAAAAGGTCAAATACAGAGCACTGTATTCATGGAAAAGTGAATCTACAAATTGTTTCAAGCTATACACTATACAACACTACCTACACAAGACCAAAAAAAAAAACCCAGAAAACACACAAACCTATGGCCTGGCACTGATGGACACTGAACAAAGTGTGTGTCTTCCAGCCTCTCATGACACAAGGTGCAGGACAGAGTGTTTCCGGTTGAATGGGTGCTGCTACCAGATGCTGACCCCAGCTCAGAGGCACCACTGTGGGGTAAAGCTGCAGCTGTGGTGGCAGCCTCTGCTGAGGTGCTGGATCCCAGGGGCTCCCCTCCGGACCTCGCGGTTAGGGGGCGTGGCTGCCTGGCTGGAGATGAGGCAGGCTTTGGGCTTGTCTGGCTTACACCTCCAGCCAGAGTCGAGGACGAAGAAGGGAGCCCTGTACTCTTGCTGGCGCTGCTGCCAGCCAGAGCAGTGTGGACCTGCGTCTGTATCTTGGGCTGATTCTGGGATGAACTGAGCTCTCGCTCCAGCTCCGGAGTGATAAAAGGGGCCATCCCCATCCCTATCCCCAGCTGCCTGCGGCTCATCTCAGCCAGCACCGGGGCAGGGAAGATCATGGGGCTGCTCATAGGGGCTGTCCTGGCGGTCAGACCCGCCGGCATGCCCGCAAGTAGCCCATGGGGAATGCCTGCAATACTTTGAGTTACTAAACTAGGAGGGATGGCAGCGCCGAGCATGGGTCGTCGGCTGCCGCTTGGACTCTGACGGTTCACTTCTTGAGGCGGCTGGCCGTCACGGTGCAGCCCGTTGGGCGGTACACGAATAGCTGACACGGTACTTTCTCCTCTTCCTCCCCTTTCGTAGCGGTCCGTGTGCGGCCTGCCTCCGTCCGCTGAAGCATCTCCTCTGCCAGATGTGCCGTGTTTATTGGACGAGGGACCAGGTGATCTGACGTTACCGTCCTGCATCCCGTGAGTCCGTTTTAGCTGTCGGGCACTCGCTATAAGGAACTCAATCTGATTAGCTCCTTCGTAGTTCACGCAGCCACGGCAAACTACTTCACTAAAGTCCCACACCACAGTCCACGGCATCTTTGGCAGGTCGCACAAGTAGCACCACTGGCGCCTGGAGGAGGACGGGGACGACATGGCTGGCCAGCTAGCTAGCTAACCTGAGCGGGTTTAACGAGCCAGCTAGCTTGCTAACGTGCTAGCACACGTTAGCTAGGTTAACCTATTTAGCTTTGACAGGTGCACGCCCTCTCTTTGCAAACGACTTTCCCCTTTAACAGGTTTCAAACCGCTTTAGAAAAATGTTACACATCCTACGGATATAAAGTAGATCAAACTTATGGGTTGCTTTAGCTCTTTTTTAATATGTTTGTTTTGTTTACCCACTCCGGCCTGCTCTTGTCTGCTGTCAACTGTTTCCCCGACGGACGCTAGGACGTTACGTAACCTTGCGAGGTGTATTATGGGTATTTGAGTTTTCTCATCTATATTTTTACTCGCAAACCAACTCACCGTGCCTGGTTTTAAAACTACAACTAAAACTGGCACGGAAATGATGTCATGATAGGTCAGAGTTCATTTAGTGTCAACCCATGTGCGGCCGCCGTAGCCATGCGTTTTGAGGAAGAAAACTTAATTTTAGTAGTCTGTGGTTATTTGTAAGAAATAAAAATGCCTAGAGACATATCGTCGTCATCTAGCGAAGACGAAGAGGACAATAATGCTACAGAATCCCACGAAAAGCAAAAAGAAACCGGTAAGCGTACACACATTGGCTAGACACAAGCTAGTGTTAGTTGGTAATGGTTAGTTCAGTTACACCAGCACCGGCATTTTTTTTACTGAGAAATACAATGCAGTCATGTAAGGTAAATACACAGCAATAGGCGCTGACTGGCTGAGCCCCATATTGATAGGAATGACGTCTTTATTTTTATTTGTTGACTCATTAAAACAGAGGAAAAGATTGTCTTGTGTAAAAAAAATCTACATATTAAAGTTAAAAAAAAGTGTAATAATCAAGTGGAAACCTAAAAATGATGCTCCGCATTTGTCAAAGCCTTGGTCTTGTGTCTTCCAATATTTAAGCAAAGGCGAGAGATCAAAATCTCACCAATAATTAAAATATCTGTGTTTTATAACTATATAACTATTTTGCACCAAAGAAAATATTTAGTAGAAGCGGTACACACAAGTAAGATGATATTGATCCAGTGAAACATGAGCACACACAGCTTTTGTTCAGGTGTTCTTTCTCGGGGCTGTTGTGTGTATTTCTTATGCTCTGTGTTATTTTATTCATGAAATGATGAAGGCGTGCTGCTGTTTGGATCCACAGATAAGAAGGCCAGCAGGTACCAGTGTCCTGCTGACTTTGTGTCTTTCCACCACAAGCCCTGCAGCAGCACTCTCACAGAGAGCCTGAAGAACAACAAGAATGAATTATGGCTCATCAAAGCTCCTGCCAGCTTTAATCCAGAATGGTGGGTGCAGTCTTTCTCCTTTTGCCTGTTTCCTTGTCTCTGTCTCAAACTTAAAGAAGAATTCATGCAATTAAGTATTTTCTTAATGGCATTCTTGTCTTGTATACATTTATTGGTTTAATCTTCAGTTTTGCATACATTGATCTACCAAAGCTTAGTAGATTTCAATATATACAGAATTTGAAAGGGTAACTACATACGTAACTGCTTCCACCTCTAATGCCAAATAATAAATCCGTTGATGTCAGAGAAAAGATTAACATTACAGAATTTACCATAATGAAATCATCTTTTGTGCTGTGCTCATGCACATGACAGGGGAAAGGCCATGGATGTATAAATAAAAAAGCAGTGGGAGCGAGAGGGACAATAAAACAGAGCTTCTAAAGGAGCATGGGAGGGGTGTACTTGTTTGATTGTTAAGTTTAAATATCAACAGTCTTTCTCCAGAAACACACACGACACTGTAAAAGTTTGCTAATATTTGGGCATTCACATAGCTCACTGGGTGGAGTCCTTACTGCAGCATGTTTGAGTCCAGCCTGGGCCGTTTGCCCTCTGTCTCCCCTGCCTTTCCTCTCTCTCTCTCTCACACTATCAAAAATAAAGCCGAAAGGAAAAGAAAATCTTATTATCTTATAATCTCTCTAAAAAAATTAAAAACAAAAAAGTTTGCTGATGTTAGTTACAGTTAGCCATCATAAACAACTGGTCATACGAGACCAAGAAAGACTTTATTTGCACATTTTTATTGTTTATTAATTCAGCTCTATGTTTTTAAGTGGGAGAATGTGTCATTTTTCTCTCTAAAGTTACATAGTCTAACTTTAAACACCTCTGCAACAATCTATGTCGCAGCACAAGAAGCAAGTCAGACTTATGTCTGTTGGGGCCAGCAGGTGGAGCTGGAGATGGGCTTCATGCTGAAGCTCCAGAGAGCTCCCTCAAATTCAGTAGCAGTCTTTGAAAATGATGTCATTTGGTTTAAACTTTTAAAGTTGAATAAACTTTTTTTTTTTCCAGGCAGGCTTTGTGAGAATGATGTCTAACCTCGACTCTCCTCCCTCCAAACAGTTTCAGTGGCATCAAGGTGCCCCTCTCAGGTCTCCAGACCCTGAAGGTTCCTACCGCTGCAGGTGGAGCAAAGACTGGGAGTGGCCAGCAGATCTACAGCATCCTTGCATCCACCCATGGTACCTCAGATCTCTGCCTGCTCACCAGGGACAAGCAATCATCAGATACCATGGTCTTTGGCCCCAGTTTTTCAGGTCTGATGAATGTGTGTGAGAGCTATGGAGACAGCAGCACCAACCAGGCCCCTCAGGTCATCCCCGCAGCTCCAGCACCCTCCATACCGCCGGGGCTGAAACAGCGGTTTCACCCGTTTGGCAGTAAGACCCCCACTCTGACATGTGTGGCAGAGAGTGAGGTGGATGGAGCCGCCTTCGGGCCCTCTTCTGCAACTCTCCGCCCCTTGGTAGTCAAACGATTTGTGGAAGAAACATGGCAGGAGGAAGAGGATGAGGAAGAAGGGAGGAAAAAGAAAAAGAAGAAAAAGAAAGAAAAGCGAATAAAGACAGAGCGAGAAGAGGAGGTGGAGGAGGTGGTGAGAGTGAAAGAGGAACCTGTAACAGAAGTTCAGGACGAAGTGATGATGGAGCTCCCCCTCCAAGAGGGCGATGTTTCAGAGGAAAGGAGGAAAAAGAAGAAGAAAAAGAGAGACAGGGAGCGAGAGGAGGTGGAGGAGGGCATCGAGCCCAGTGTCATGGTGAAGGAGGAAGAGGTAACAGTGAAATGTGAACCAATGGACCCTTCGTATGGTGATGTAGTGGAGGGCTCAGGAAAGAAGAAGAAAAAGAAGAAGAAAAGCAAAACTGATGACGAGTAACCTGTCGTCACTTTATTGTTTTGTTTATTGTCGACCTTATGAACTTGACTGGGAGCCACTCCTAATTTACTCCAGTGTATTGATAGATTGTATAATGAGAGGCTTGCTTTGGCAGGACATTGCATCCAGAGAAAAAGAACACATCCTGAATCAATTGAACACTTACACAAATTATAAAATGGATTCATCCCAGCATCTTAAAGGCCAACGTTCCCTCTCATTTTGGGCTCAGAAAGTGACAGTTTTACACACAAAGAATGTGTGCAGCCGCAGGCATCTATGAGTGCATGGATAATAAGAGTGTACATGAGGGGAACATCTCTGTGTTCTGCCAGTGTCTGTCAAGTTGTGGTAGATTTTATGGGATTATTCTCACACTGTGTTGCTGCATTTGTGTACATATTTACACAACTCTGCTGGTAATGTTGCTGGTTTGGCGACAGGTTCAGAAAACCAGAGGTGATGTAAAGACAGTATAATGGTTCGCTGTCACGTCATGTTAGGTTTTTTGTTTTTAAAGGATTCGAGTCACATGTATTGGAGAACACGTGTTTTAAAATAAACTCCTAAAGTGATTAAAGGAAATGAAACGAAAATGAAAAGAACATGTTTGTGTTTTTGTCCTGCAGTCGACTCGTGCAAGCATTCTAACATTTTCCTCTCATGCCTTGACAGAGCAGTGACTTCATCCAGAAGGAATAAAACTTGAAGTTGTGTTGTAACTCAGACCACAGCTTATAAATTGCGCAACAATAGGAAAGTGTCCGATTTATAGATCTGTAGTTTTCTAATGATCTCAAGTTTTAGGTGGAAGTCATGTCATAGGAAAGGCAAACGTTTTCAATTAATAAATTACAGAGAATCTGTTGTGTGGACAGATATTTAGGTTTGAAAAATTATTTTTTATATTGACAGTGAGTATAGGTACTATTGGAAATACACTGAATTGTTGACAGGACATTGAATTGTTGTTTTAGTATAAACAGGATTCCCATGATCATGAAATTCCTTAAAGTTTAAAACAAAAACTTTCTTGGTTGGAATTGGTTTAGAATTAACAGAATGTTTTGGAATTTTTTTTAACATACAATGTTGTGGCTGTTGTTTAAAAGAGTGCTTCCCAACTGGTCGGTCACGATCCAAAAGTGGGTTGCTGGTCCACTCTGAATGGATGGCAAGTCAGTCAACTTTATTTTAAGTACAGTGAATTTCTGGCACGGAACTTTTATTTTGAAGCGCCCTTTCCCGCTGTAGAGCGAGTGACTAATGGAAGGCTAAGAGACAGCAAACTAGTTTGACAACATGGCCAAACACAAGTATGACACTGAATGTATTAAACTGTGTGGACCTCGAACTAATGACTAAGGAAAAATCTGGAACCTATGGCTGGACCACTTGGGGACCACTGGTTAAAAATAAATTTATAATAATCCCCAAAAATGTAAAATGCCAATGGAAATAAGTTGCTTGTATTATTAATTTTAAATCTATTGCTGTGCTGCATGTCTGTTGAAATGTCACTAATATCACGAGATACACATTGGTATTATGCACATTGCTAGTTGGCACCAGGAATGTCTACCAAGGGAGTTAAGTTAGCAAGTACTAAAAGGTTACTTATCCATAAATGCCTGGGAAGTGCGTGATTGATAATGTATGGCATTAGATTAGATTAGGTTAGATTCAACTTTACTGACGTTGCACATGTCACAATTAAGTGCTATAATGTACAGTAGTGGCTGATAGTCCAGAGGTGACATAGGGGTCTGGATGGCAGTGCATCCAGACCCCTCCATTCTGTAGAACAACAATATAATACATGGCTCAAGAGAGTCAGATCCTGGCTGCACTGGATGTAGGATCTGCACCACAAAGTTTGACGTTTGCAACATGGACGAAGTTGCTCTGGTTAGCCATGCTAAAGGGTAAAAGCACCCAATGATTGTTATATAGGCCTACCTATTTAAACTACTTAAATAAAGTCATGGAAATGTGGTAAAACATTATGTTAAACGTATGGAAAAGTGTTGATAATCTGTTGGTAAAAATGTGCGGGAACCCT